AAATCAATTCTTACAAACAAACAACTGCAATCAAAATTCAGCCCTTCTTGATTTACTGGCTGCAAAATCTTTAATAACTTCGCTGAAATCAATGTACAAACAAACCACTGCAATCAAGATTCAGCCCTTCTTGATTTACTGGCTGCAAAATCTTTAATAACTTCGCTGAAATCAATGGAAGAAGCAACTTGATGTTCGATTGACGGGATAGCAATATTTGTAAGTCTTTCTTGAGACATTGTAGATCACAGGTTTGACTTAATCAGCTTCATTTTGCTGAAAGATGACGTTTGCCGTCTCAGTTCAGAGGGCGGCAAACGAGAAAAAATCGCAAAATCGTTTTTGCCGCCCACTGGCAAAATGGGCAAAATGGGGAAAAAAATTTCCCCGAAATTTTGCTTCTTTGAAATAAATATTTTTTTGAAAGGCTATTTCCTCCGCCCTCTTGACTGTGGCGCCCGGGGCGACCGCCCCACTTCCCCCCCCCCCCCCTAGTTACGCCACTGGTTTCCACTTCTCTCGCCCCGGCTTTCCTCATCTCGGTTACTTTCCGGGGGTTCCAACAGACATTCGCCGCACTTACACGTACGCCTCTCACTCCCCAGTCTTCACATTATCCTCTTTCCTTCCTCTCCAATCCCATGCCCCTGCCCAACTCCCCTCTTCCTTCTGTACTTTCCCTTGCAGCTTCTTCATTACGACTTTCTTTTCCCCATTCGCATCCAGTGACTTTTCGGTCGCTCTGTCCTAGGCCGCTGTTACCTTAGCCTGACGCGTGAGGCCTGCAAGGCTATGCCTTTAAGGGCCGTAGGCTAGGCAGAATGACACGGGATGCGTACCAGTACGCTTATGGATGCGAAGGGGTCAGGAAGCTTTTTTTTGGAATAGTCTGAAAGCGATTACTTCGTTTCTGTGTGTTCCCTTTTTCCAAAAATAGTATGTCGTTTTGAAGAAGAGTGAGCAGTGCGAAAACGACTACCTTCAATAAGCCATCATTACATTTCATTCCCTTGATAAAGCATTCGTTTTCGGTTGTTTTGCAAAACACAGTGAAATTCCTTTGCCATTGGTATAGCTCGTACTTCGGAAATCCCTGTCATACATGAAGACCAGGATAGAGCCTATTCGGACCTCTTGACTGCCGACCGAGCTTTTGTCGATCGCCCACTCCGATGCCCTCTGCTTCTCCCCTTCATGCTTTTTACAGAGTCCATCAAGAGATCGTTTCAACGACGAGCAATCCGCAAAGAAAGTCGACTTTCGAATCGCTGTTCACGAGTCTAACGAAACGCTTGGATCGTACCGACTATTTTAGTAGACCATTCTCGCGGTCTATCCCACTTATTTTTTCTTACTCGTCAACTCCATGATAATGGGATGTACGAGTCAAGGCCAAGGGATATTTTAGTGAGCCTCCCTTCCTTGAAATGGAAATGGAAATGAGGCTCCTTATGCAATCGCCTGGATGCCGGAGTCAAGTGAAGCTTTTATCAGCGCTTGTGAAAATCTAATGCTGCTCGCAACAGGTCATCCCTCTTCCTCGATCAGCTACCACCAACACCAGAGGTCATAAAGAAAAGGGAAGTCTCCGGAAACATGATCAGGCGAATCGACTGGGAAATGGAACGGCCGCTCCAGTCATAGGACCTTCCGAAGGGAGTCTTCGGAAACTGCACAGATTACGTTACTTTACGATTAATTTCTGATCCTTTCAAATCACTTTCCTTACGGCTACTTCATATAGACTGCTTGGGCAAGTATCCGTCGATCCAATTCTTCGTAAGACAGCAGAATCCTCATTTGCGTCGAGGAACCCTCGAAGAAATTATAAGAGTAATGATAAATAGAAACTAATAAATAAATACGTAGGATTACTCTTTAGAAGTGATGGCATTCCTGCTTCACTTCACTGAACCTTACAATTTGGAGCTGCAATTACTTTCGAAAGAAACTTAGCAATGTATGCACATGCGTAACAGATCCTCATCATATATCCTATCATCATCAGATAAAATGATTATCACACATGAGTTGTTAGGAACACTGATCTGTTTCTATGGTGGGTCTCCTTTCCTGCAAGGAAAGAGACCACATACTGTATGGTCCCGTCCTGTCCGTCTATCTGTGTGTGTGTGTGTCAACTCTGTGGTTGTCCGATACTAAAAGAGGCTGAGTTCGTTTTGTGGCGAATTTGCACCAAAAGTGGCCTTTTTATTGAGAATTTTTGAAATTTGGTCACAATCGGGAAGATCGAATTCTCGAGGGTCTGCACCATAACGCACATGTGCCTAGGCTTTGTGCCGTGCCGTGTCAGCAGCCAGAGCTGTTAGTTCCCTGTCAGCCTTCGAGGTAGAAGCATAGAGTAGAGTGTAACTAGAGGCGATACTCCGAGGGGTAGGGGAGGGTCGAAATATTACAGAGACATCTGGTGGCATGTTATCAACAACACTTCCTTGAGGCGTGCTTCGTGGCAGCGGAATCGGGAATCGACTCTTGGTGGCATGTTATCAACAACACTTCCTTGAGGCTTGCTTCGTGGCAGCGGAATCGGGAATCGACTCATTCGGGGATTCGACCCAAAGGGATCCATCAACGTAACACGCGTGTCTCGTTGAGTCCATTGCTCGGCCATGGATGAGTTCTTGATGTGCGTCCACTAGGTGGAGGATCGACAGTGACATCTATATTGTGACCCTATCAATGAATGGGATTCGAGCAGAGTGTCGCCTCTAGTTACACTCTATGGTAGAAGGATCCAATCTACAATCTACACAGGCGAAGTCTGAGGCAGCACCTGTACATGACAACGTAGACAGAGTTGCTATCAGATCTCATGTCAACAACGCTATACGTTGTACTCTCCTTTCACCTATCGACCTCTACCTACCTGGCAGTCTTCCTGATCATCATAATCATTAAAAGAAGGCCCACCATAGGACTGAGCTTGCTCAACGAGCTAAGAATGCATGAGAGCATAAAGAGTTAAAGGGGGCGTTTCAGGGTGTTTTATCCCCAGATACAGTAGTTTCGTAGTAGGGACCAACTGCATTATGCTTAGTGCATTTTCTCCTTTGACTAAGGTCTAGAGAACTATAAAACTTGCACTAGAGAAAATCACATATATGATATTTGATAGATTTCCTTGTCCGAAAACGCCTCTGATTGAATTACGAAATTTAACTCTTGCAGTTGTGCTAATATTGACACCTGGATTGCGAAATCCAATAGCGAGTGACCCTTCCTTCCTCGCCTCGGACTATTCTAGGAAGGAATTGTTGGAGATATTTTGGGGATATGAAGCGTAAATCGGATACATCCGATTTACGCTTTATATCCTTTAACTGCGGAGAACGATTTTACCCCAAATCGTCGAGTTTTCGTCGGATATCGCACGTCCCCTTCCAGACTATTCAAGCTCCACTTGGCAGTAGAGTCGCACCGCTTTTTACTTACCTACAAAGGGACTTTTACTGAAAAGGATAATTAGAACAACCTGAAATTGGACATGCAAAATGTTGAAATCTCTAATTTATTAATAATTATATTTTGCATGAAAACTGTTTTTTTTTTATGTTAAACAGTGCATCCATTTAGAGTAAACCACAAGTAATACATCAATAGAATAACAATTTGTTCAGGAAAGCTGCCATACACATAAAATTTTAAATTTAAATTTTTGCTCAATAATTGACACTTTCTGGGAATGCACTTGAAAACTACTCACGCAACAAAAGGGTTAAATAAATTCCTTAAGGTAGGGAGATGATTGAACAAGGCCGGCATTTATCCATAGTTAATCATGAACGGCACACAGCATAGTGATACACAAAACAAGATTGACATAGATTACGTCTGTCTTGGTTACTCTGCGATTATGAAGAAAACTCAAATTTTACGTGGACATGCTGTTCGCACTTCCCAGGATCGTAGAGTAAAATCGTCCTCAGGCCAGCACTTGTGTTGACAAGAGAGACATTTTTAGGGGAAAAAAAGACAAAGAATCGGAAGATATTTCATAACCAATCCTTTCTCTATATGCACTCTTATGCACTTTCTTTTTCAACGAAAAAGAAAGTGCCTCCCAATAATATCACCGGAACCTCTTGACTTTGAAACATTGGATCTCGAACGACTAGAAGAGACACCAGCCGAATTCCAGACAAATCCATTGTCACCAGGGGCGGACTGGCCATATAGCAGCTCTGGCAAATGCCAGAAGGGCCGGTCTTCTCAAGGGCCTACGGGCCGGTCCTCATGTACCCTATTAGTCTTATGCAACGAAATTTACAAGTGAACATGAACAGTAGCGTAGCATGATTGGCATGGACCCTGGTGCAAGGAATGAAACGGGGCCCACCGTCCAATTCCTTACAATTGAATTATGTGGGAGTCATTTTTTTGCTAGTTTTCTCTGGCAGCATATAAATCGTCGTCGGTAGCTGTGTAGTCAGAGTGGAAGGCAGTGGCGGATTCAGAAATATTTCGCAGAGGGGGGGCTGCTTCCTAGTTCCCGCCATCATCCGACTCGTCCTCCATCGGTGACCATATTTGCTCAGAACATGTTCACTTCTAGCATTGACCGATTTTGACTTATTATTTGGCAACGGGCTTTTGACACGCCCCGCGTAAGAAATGTAAGATTGTACGTGGCATCGGAAAGCAGTTCGACGTTCAGGACTGTAAATTGACCAAGGTGCAAAAGAGTGCTGGGCTAAATTGGAAAATATTAGAATTATGTCATTACCACTATCCGGACATTTTTCACATGCAATCTAAAAAGTCATATTGGGGCCAAATGACAGGAGGCATCCGGACGACTCATAGAGCTAAATTTTACCATAATTTCATCAAAATTTTGCTATCGCGCTCTTCAATGTAGCCTCAGTGTAGCGTTGTCATCCTATTCTGATCGGGTTCGATTTTTCTGATCGGGTTCGACGGGTGATACATTTCTGAGTAAATACTGGAAGCTTGCGGTTTGAGTACCGCATACGTACGTGATGAGGCAGTTTCTTAGGTCTTATACGTAGATGAAAGGACGCAAAGGACATAAGCCGGAAAGTGATAAGAAACGTGTCCTTAAAATAAAAGACAACTGAGATTTCAATTTGAGGGTGCCATAACTCCTTCAATGGCGACCCACCATCTCCGGGTAACTTTCACGTCTTCTGCCGTTTTTGGCTTCACGCAGTAGTTCTATCATATTGAAGTGCCAACACGTTCAAGTATTCCTGTTTGTGAATGCAGCCACACCGTCATGATAAGAAATGTTCGACCTTCGGCCTGTCCGATGACACTCTTGTTTCCGTATTGAACGAAAGAAACTCCTGGATGGGATTCTTAGGCACCTCATGGACCGAGTCGGGACGAGGGTGCTCCAAAATATACTCAACCGTCAGCTGGAGGAGCACATCAGGGAGAAGCTCCCGGGGATCCGATCCAACATGATGCAGAAAAGATCAAACCTCCAAGAACAGCTCCAAATCCTGGGTGCCTTCGATACCAAGACAAAAACCAACAACGCTATCTTCCATCAGTCAGGAATTACTTCATCTGTCTACTGCCCTCCGAGTGCGTGAAAAACCCATGCGCATTCAGAGTTTTTTTTTTCTCTTTTTCAGAGTTATGGTCAGGTTCGCCAATAGCCTCAAGCTTTCTCTTGAGGGCTTCGATTACAATGTGGATATTCACGAAGTGCAACTAGGCGTCGTGATCAATGAAACCATCAATGAAGAAATCATTAATGGCCTTCTGAATGAGGTTAGCGAAACTTTGAATTTTCCTCGTATATAGCATTTTGGCCATAAAACTACACCTTAAGTTTTTATTTCAGATATTTTGTTAACTATGATTCGAATGCTTCCAACTGAATTGCGTTGCGGCTTCCCCTACATCTTGCTTCCCCTGCATCTTGCTTCCTCTCTTTCTTTTCAGCTTTCTTTTTCTTCTTCTAAAAAAAAGGGAAATTCATAACGTTGCTTATGCAACGACCTTTGCAAGCAGACCGTTTCCTGAAAGGGGATTGTTATGTCTAGTCACCAGAAATACAGAATTTTCAGCGCATCAAACTGTTCTCCATGTGATGCGTTTCAAGCGCATGAAACCTCTTAAGAGTGACAAAATTAGCAAATCACTCTGAACAAGCAGCAGAGGAATGAGAGGTGGTGGAAGTTCGAAAGAATTAAATCCTCTAGTCTGATATATGCATCTAACTGGGCAAACCTGGTGTGGGGGGGGGGGGTAAATAAATGGTACCATTCCCCAAGGAATGTGGGGAGGCCCGTTTCCTACCTCTGCCTCCCTTATTCCTCCGCACTTGTCAATAGACACAGTTGAAATCTGCACCTTGTGGCTCCCTAACAGGCCCCAATTCAAAGTCTGAGTCCAGACTGGGAGGTCGAGGAGTCTTCTGTGGCTGAAATGCATCAAACTCCATTTGATGCATGATCAAATTGAGATGCATGGAAAATTCTGTGTATTCATGAAATTAAAAAAAGTAGGTACACTTACTGATCATGTGCAAACAATTTACTGGTTAGTTGCATTGGGAGCATGAAAGAATCCATCTTTCATAGTTTTTTTTTCTGCTGAGTATTATTTATATAAAAAGATGTTAGCTCTATTGAGCGCACCACTCAGCAAAACTAAGTCGCTCTGGTGGACGAGATGCAAAAATCCATTCGGATGTCTCCCATTGGAACTACTATGCCCCGCTGAGGTAAAAGTGGGACTGATAGCACGGAATCTTGGAAAAAGTTGTAAAAGAGTTCATACGAAGTCTGTGACATATTCAGAATATTTTTATGCAGAACTTCCTTTCATTATATTCGTCTTATGGGAAAGTAAGGGAAGCTACGCTGGAGTTGCTGATAGTCCACTCCGTGTAAAACACTGAATTCACTCTAAAGGAAAATAACACACACGCACACTAGAGGAAAATAACTACGTCATGCTCATGCCCTAGGTTGACCTCAAATGTGCTCATTTTCAATGCTACTACTACGATACATTTACAGGCTGCCACAGCTTCATTTGATCATTTTTGGTTCAGAATATTATATTTCTACCACTTCTTCCAGAAACTATCATGCTCCGTCTCAAATCATTGATACTGAAGAATTGCCCACTACCTTAATTTCTACTCTGCCAGGGCTTTACGGAGAGCAGAGATATCAAATTTCTCCCATTCCTTTCTAATAACTTCTCAAAACCCACCCAAAGTTTTGCGGCACCGATTCACAAAGGGCAACCCAAACGCACTGAAATCCAAACCCTGCTTTTCGGCAGTGGATAGACAGGTGTTTTCCACAAACATAAAGGTCCAACCAAGATTCACCAAACTTCTTGTTAGCTACTGATCTTTGGTAAGACCAGAACTACCTTTGCCTACGAATTCACGCCTTTCTTGGCTTCTCATCTCTTTCCATTGTAAAGGATGACGTTAGAGACTGTTCCTTAAGAAACGCACCATCCTTTTCAAGTATCATATTATTGTGTGAGCAACCTTTCATCGAAAGGTGTTTTCGCACATCTCCACGACACAGTCAACAGGCATCACTAAACGCCAACGCAATGGTCCTTTCTTTCACATGACAAAAATTGACAATAATCCCTTGCCACACGAAAGTTACAATATTAATCCTTTCCTCATATGAATAAATATATTTTGAAAATGGTCAAAGGAATCTGGGGCAGCCTTCTGTGCTACGCAGGATGCCAAATTATCCTTGATGGTACACAGAACATTTATTCGCGGCTTTCTTGGAGTATGGCCACCTGGGTGTGGATGAGAACTAAAGTTTTCATTTTTTTTCCTATTGGCTTTGATGTAGGAGAATCTGATGCCGACGAAGGAAGAGACAATGACTGCAATAAGGAACCTGGTCGGTGTTCAGAATTACATGTCACCTCCGCAGCAAGCATTCAGACGAATGGTGACTTACATGACCAAGAAATTCAAGGACCCGATGAAAACGTCAGTGGAACTCATCGCAGACCACACTGGCAGGGCCGTCGAAAAGTATGCCTCGCAGGTAATCTCACCAACATTCGATAAGTTTAGCTTAATCCATGATATAGTTCATTATAACTTCCTAACAGGGCAAACCGACATTATTCAATTTCATTTCACAATCGAAACATAAAATAATTAAAATCGAGCACGGAAAAAGGTTGAATATAACGATATTGAATGTTTTGAATAGGAAGTCGGGTCTTTCCCCAATTTGAAACAAGAAGTGCTAACCCTGGTGATGGAGAAACTGAAGCGAAACGAGTTGGCCTGCAAAGAACTCTTGGTCATGTATATCGAAGCAGAGTGCTCCTTCATGAACACTAACCATCCTTTGATGAAGCGGAATGACGTCTTCACCGGACAAGCTCATGGGTCAGCCATCTTTTGTAACTCTTTTGGGTTTTTCCCCATTTCAGCATAGATATCGCGTGAGATTGAATCAACATTAGTTGCATGCTGATTCAGTATTGCGTGCAACTTGGACAAGGACATAGCTATCTATCTTACCTAGCTATGATGGAACATGGCGCCACTACAATCGTAAGAGCTTCTCTGGATAATTCTGGGCACAGTACAGTTAAATCACAGTTGTCTCGTTGCATCCTAAGAGAGACTCATGATGCCATAATTGCAATCATTTCCATTAGGAAATAATCGATATGATGATTATTGTTTTTATTTCGGTCTTCTCCAGGCATCAGTGCTATGTCGAACGAAGGCGCGAAGAAAAGAATATCCACTGCAAAGTACTGTGATACCTGCGAATTCCGGAAAATTAAAACCGTCTGTTAAGTTAACCTTTGTGTTGCTTTCATTAACCTTGTAACTACCGTTCTAAGTCCAATGGACCATGTTACAAAAATTCAAACATTTGTGTAAGCTGCGCCGTAAACTAGAAAAGGCTGACACTTGGTATGTGTTCACGATAATATTTGGTAGTAATTAGACAAACCACATTGAAAAGATTCTTTCTTCGGAATGAAGTGATAAAAGTAAGAGTTAAACATGTGACCATCCGGATTTTGATAGTTGCAGGGTTAATAATGGCTTTTCTCGTAGTGAAACAGATGAAGGGAAGGTGCCACACGCCGCCACCGGCACTCTGCCACGTCCCCCCAGGGTAAGATAATTAGCACTCCTTTCTTCATTTTTGCTATGTACATTCGATGGGTGAAAGGAATGTTTGGATGCTGTGAAAGGGGACGCAGAGGATCCACGAGGGCTACTTGCACCTCCCCAGTGAATCTGCATTCTCCAAGAGAAAGAGACTGGTTTGGTTCACGATCACTCCTGTTCACATCACCATTTTCAAGGACAGTCGGGTACCTTAAAATTCCTCCATTTTCTTCACTTCACATCTCTTCCTTTTCACAATGAAGTTTGTATCCGGTCAATGCAGGAAGACACGGAGTTGATACGACTCAACAACGCGGAAATTCGAATTTCGGTGAAAAACGACTCGAAGAAGAGCCGTAAGAAATTCACCATCTCTAAAGTCGATGGCAGGTGAACACTTTCCTCGTTCTCTCGCCTCGTTTGATTGTACTTGGTTCAATTTTTAACTTTATTTTCTGAGTCACAGGTCCCTGGGGATGGGACAGGCGAGGGACATCGAGGTCATATACGACGGAAAGGATGGGAAGGAAGTCGGCGAGATATGGGCAGCAAAGTTCCGTGAAGGAGGAATCCAAATGGAGGATTTCGGAAGTGCTCACACTCTAGTGAGTGATTTTTGCGGAGAAAAGAAGCACTCCAAAGCTTGGAGGCGCACTAGTGCACACGAAACGATATCGGCCTAATGGGTCAATCAGGTCATATCTATAAGAACTCGATGCTTCTATTAAGTCGTGGTACACAATCATGTTG